CCTGAGCGCTGATAAATGATTTTCATTTAGCATTGATCGCTGTCCGTTCGACGCACAATGCTTTGGAACTCAGCGAGCATAGAAATCTCCACCCATCTCTTTTCAACAATGCCTTACGTGGATTCGAGGTTTCATGACACGTGACTCGGTCAGCAACGGCGTTAACAGTCCAATTAATAGTTACCGACGACATGTTCTGACTGCCTGTGTGGATGAAAGGAGTGGAACTAAAGTGGTGAAAGTGGACTTCGCTTTGGTAGGACTTTGGATTAATTAGATCAAATGGCATGACTGGAATAAAAATTTAGAATGACTGCCACGAAGATACAATATGAGAGCCACTTGGATACCAGGCCAGGTACGCTGACGATGTCTGAGTATGGATAATGATTACTACCTGAAGGAATGAAGACTGCCTCCGTCAGGTTTTGTCTGAGGATTCTCCTCACCACTTCAAGTTTCAAGATCTGCGGCAACCGTTGAAGCGATGTTGACGTCATGCTCTCCCTCACCGAATTCCATCAAACGCCTATGGAATATTTTCAAATCACATATTAACTCCCTGTGGATCACGAATACAAGGAAGTGCCACGAGGTGAATCAGGAAACCGGTTAGTAGATCCAAGTTGCTCAAGATGACCGTTTTATTTTCAAAATCCGAGAGGAAGGCCGAACACTTTCAAAGAACGGATACCAGGTAGTAGAAGGCTTTGAATATTTAATGTAGCCTGTTCTTATTGGTATATCAACAAAGCACCAGTGTCAACACTGACGTTGCTGTCTCTAATGTTGCTATATCTGATGAGGAGGATGAGGAGGACGAGGGTGATATTAAGTGTAGTCCCAGCTTGATGAGTTTAGTGTTTTTATGAAGAACTACTTGATCTGTGGACGGTTTTGTAGCCTCACGTTAGTTAGTACTGTCAGGATGGCTGCGCGATCGAATCTACAATCGGTTATCGGGTAAACAGTGCTAATCGCACCACATACGGTGAGAGGTCATGTAATCCTTCGAAGAAGTGTTTTGTTCACAACACATTCCCATGTCCTGTTTGTTTCGCATGCATTATCAACGTAAATAGGACAGCGAAAAATTAGTTCTTACAATTCCGCTAGCATCAGAAGAGCTCAATGTAAAGCCTGGGGTTTGCAGACAACTTTTGGGATGTGTCTGCTAAAAAATCAAAAGATATCGGCGGAAGAAAGTCGAATTAGAATTCGGTGGAAACCACCAGGGATGTAAGGCGGGCATGCGATGATTATCAAACCCACTTTTATGTTAGAAAGAACCACGACGAATAACTGCGACAAGAACACCATACGTTGCAACTGTCTAGGTCAGTGAAGCCTATCCGTTGACGGGGAGCTAATGGTTGTAGTTCTCAACCAATCTGTTTTACCGCATTCGTTTGTACCCCGCTGTCAAACGCACACAGAATATAGATGCGATGAATAAGTGTGCCACTGTGGATGTGTTTTTAGCAGAATTTAAGCCACCTCATAATCTTCCGATAGCGACAACACAGCTAAGCTATCCTCGAAATGACCGCACCCCTTTCACTCAGTCGTCTGTTTTTATTACAGCTCTGAAGCAGACTCAGTGCCGCATAAATTCCGCAGCCCACGGAACGTCACGATAAAAGAGCAGGAACTCAGCTGGCTGATTCATTTTCACTCACAAACCTCTACTCGGCTTTCTGGTAGCGAACGCACACACACACACACACACACACAAGCCCCTTTGTCCTTTTTGCCCACAGTGCGAGACATTCATCTGCGTGTGCACCAGACTGTCAGAGTCACTGTTTGAATCTTCTCACATCTCGCGTCCCTTCAACAGACCAGTCTATTCACGACCACCTGTCGGTTTTCTCCGTTTAGTTGTTTTGTTCTCTTACCCCACATGACTGTTGAAGAAAGCGCCTAGTTTGACCTGTCTGTGTTGCCTACATTTGTACGGTTGGAGTGGGAGAGGGACTTAAATTTGTCATGGTTTGGAATTTGGTTCGAAAGAGGACAATCAGAATCTGAAAATTTTGTGTAAAAAGTACCGAATTACGGGAAAAGGGTGCCAGAAGAACAGAATTACGGGAAAAGGGTGCCAGTTAACCCCGTCCTATTGATTCGACTAGAACAACATGCAAAAGCCAAGAGACTGATACACGTATTTCTGTCAAACTCATCAAGCTGCTGAACAGTCCCGGGTTCGAATCCGGTCACCTGAACGTAAGATGATATTTTGTGGTCGTATCCTCAGGATCACAGAGTAAAAGATTATCATAAACACACTGTTTGAGAGCAATATATTTCCCTCACATAAGCTATGAGAAACAATTCTCTAGCCTAGCAGGAATAAATGTTAGCGTTGAAAACGTCCCCAACTCGATCATATTCCAATTGAACTTTCTCACCTGATCAAGTCTTATCACAGTAGAACAGTTGAAAATGAACAGTCTAGATTCAAGGGCTTCTTACGTCTGTCAAGCCCTAAACTGCCAAATTTGCTTTGAAGCACCGGAGGCTGACATAATCCTACTAGGAAAAGCGAAGCATTTTACTGTATGATGGGTCCTGGAGACCACACAGTTGATCGCACAGTTCTTCGTTTGATAATGCAACAACAGGTGTTTGTCACCGAATTTCCCTTAAAAAGTGCTATGCTACTTGCTGAGATTTCGTTGTAAGTTCAGTAAGAATGTCCCTATGGTTTTTGCGTTCCCGTTCCCACGATTGTCGTCGTTCTCCCTCAAACCTAAACGAGCCGGCTAAATCTATGTGTAGTGACTTTGTAGTCTCTTTCATGAAGTCCAATCATCGAACGTGTTTTGATGACGAAAAGCAATTGCATCTCTCAATTTTATATGCCCAATTTTATATGTCCAATGACACATTGGACAGCATGCGTTGTTCCTCAATAGTCAAACAGAATTCAAGCATATAAACAGCTCGACAGCCAGTGTCTGGATGCAATGCATTGTTCATAAGGTTCCTGAAAACTCTTCGACAGACCACGTCCGTCTTGGGGCTCAGTCCCCCGGTTTCCGTGTTCTAGATGAACCAAATTGGACAGATTTAGACAACTACTCTGGTTTACACAAATTTGGTTTCGACAGGAGGCTAAACTGCATCCAGTTGAATCTCTTGTTTACGATAGTCCGTGTGCACAATCGCACAGCTACGCAGTTGGTTGTTAGAAAAACCCCACTACCGTAAGAACAGGCGTAAATAGATCTACTGATTCACCAACTAAATTTGCGTCCAAACCGAAGATGTCCATTAATCAGGAAAAAATCGATCTTTTAGCATTCATCTGCCGGACATTTGTGAACGAAGATCCTCGCTCAACGAGCAATGACAAGAATGGCACTTTCCGTAAAACCCAAGTACATACTGGAGTCTGACGAATGCTGTCAGTTTATCTATTGACAGACATCGCTTGTGCGCTGACGTGACACACTACTTAAAATATGTTCATGGAGCAATGACTGGCACTTTCCGTAAAACCCAAGTACATACTGGAGTCTGACGAATGCTGTCAGTTTATCTATTGGCAGACATCGCTTGTGTTGTGCCGTGACACACTACTTAAAATATGTTCATGAGGGAAACTACTCACAAGGTTGCTGAAAACTCCTCGACAGCCCACGACCGGTTTCG